GTTAGCAAAACTCGCGTCAGCGCTAAATGTAACGATTTAACCGGAGCGGAAGTTAAAGTTGCCGTTCCTCTGAAACAGCGTACTGCCGCTTGCGCGCCAAAGTTATAATTATCGCACCTAGTATAACGTGCGTTAAGTGAAAGGTTCCCCAGGTTCCTAATGTTACCGAGCTTGACACTTCTGACGCGAAGAGTAAGAAGTTATCTTTGCGAAACAGCAGCGATTCGAACGCAGTTGAAGCTAACGTCACCAGTTAAATCTAACAAATAGGAAAGAAGAAAGAATTCGGTTCACTTTTAAAATACCAGTGACAAATAATCGACAGTGAACCTATGTACGGTGAAACGTTTTGTCACTCTTCCGCGAATGGCTTTGCAAAAGCACCACTTCGATTCTTCTTTCCCTTTCTAACGACCCTTTCCAACGACCATTTCAAACTCCAGCTCTTCCTTATTGTAATCGATTTCTCAACTCAGCGAAAGAAACTCGCACCTAACAAACAGCAATCCCTGAAGAGGCTTAGGGCGTGTCGAATTCAGTATTTCGATTCTGGGGATTCTAGTTACATGTTTGATTTACGAATGGCCATTGAGATTTATAATATTCGTGGCTGTTGATAAAAGAACCTTGAGGAATTTTAGATTCTGTTTATACGTATTCATTTAAAACAACATATTTTTTCAAATAGCCTAATAGAATAGTTTTAAATATCCTAGAATTTCAACTCCACCGAATTTGCAACTAAAGATAAAGTAAGAACGTACACGAAACTTGCCTATCTATCAATTTGCAAGTATTCGTTACAACTATGTTTTCCTCCCACAATTTCTCACTTCAGAAAATGAATGCTTTCCGCACACAGAGCATAATCGAGATTCCAAGATCTCTATGTTTCCTTACCTGTAAAAAGTCCTATACTAATCCCAGAATCTCCACGAAGCTTACGAAATAGTAGGCGCTAGAGATGATCGAACAATTCCCACGAAGGCAACAAATTACCCGATAATTCATGATTCACTCCGCTCGAAGTCAACGTGGTCCAACGGATATCGATCAATCAGCCCATCGTATTTATAGATACCGATCCAGGGTCAACGATTTATCTTGCACCGTGTCATAACGTACCTTTCTAACACTCTTCCACAGAGTTCACACGAACGATTTCACTGGCTATAGTCTCTCTTTCTCTATATCTCGTTCTATCCGTTTCTCTCTTTAGAGATACGCTCGTGAGAAATCCGTGGCGAGATAAGGAAGCGTAGACAGACTCCTTCGAGCTGTTACCCGGCATTGTTCGCCGCTGACAAAGCTTCTTCTATCAAGAGGTATTAACGCAATTAACTGATGTATCCCATACAGGACTGCTCTTCGGAGGCGGCCGTAAAACGTTCAGGCAAATGACGGTCGCGAGGGACAGCAGGCCGAGGATACGCTCTCTGAACGGTATCGTAATTAGTATACAAAAGCGACCTGCCGCGTAATTAACTGGCTGGCCAGCCAGTGTGAATCTTTGGGCTCGATCTATTTGTCCCTTTGGATAGCTCAAATTTTGTTGCCATTCTATGGCGGTTCATTTCATCGAGGGGCAAATTGAGGAGGACCTTTGACACCGCGTCTATATGGGATGCTAAAGAGCTTTTCTATGGCGTTAAAGGCTCAACTCGCCTCGTTGGCTGATCCTGTAAATGGTGTTACTATGTAGTAACATCCTGGATAGGTTTTGTACGTGGTATACAGACGTTTTGAGAGGATCGTTTTTTTAACAAGGGAAATATGAATGACCAGTTAATTTGAACAATGATTTAAGGTGTGAGAGTTGTCATTGGATCAATCCTTTTTCCTCAAATAATGCTTCTTTGTATCATATTTATATTAATGTCGTGTATTTCCATGAATTGACTAGTACATTTAATTATTTGCTACTGGACCTTGGTCGATGTGACCAATTATCATAATAAATAGTGATTAGACTACGCATACTGAGTGAAATTAGTTGTGTACTCGTCCTTAATTTGATTACAGTAACCGCCACATTAACCCGATTTAAAAAATTCAGAATGTTCATGGACATAACGAAGACATAAAATATATGTCACGGTGATGCATACAGATTGAGGTTTACAGCACTAAAGAGACAACTCTAATATTTGGAACGGAAAGAAAGATGTAGGTTTCATATCCAAACGTGCAAAATATTATATAATATCGCTATGAATATTAGCCAAATTTATTTTAAAATTTCACGTTTTAAAAAGTGATTTGATTTGGAATTACTTTCCGTTGTTTTACTCAAATTACTTAAACTGCCCTTTTTTCTTCGTGATTCATTGCAACAGTTCCTCCAATTATCAACGCGTATATATAACGCTTTAGGAATTAATAAACTTTGCTATTAGGATTCACTCTGGATATTCACTTTTGCTAAAATTATCAACGATATTGAAAGTTTTGATGCTAATTCGATAATTGGGGATTGCGGAGCTTCTCTATCGCGAGGCTGGTTGATTCTTGAAAATCCAGACGACAATCTCGCGTATCGAAATCATGCGTCGAACGATAAATTAAATAGTAATGCCTGGGAAACGTCATTATTGCGTTGCCACAGGAATCTTGTTAGTGTCGACAGTAAACACAATGACAAATTAAATAGAGATTTCGCGACCACGATCGTTACGTTAGAGGCGCAGACCCGGCGATGTTATTAAATGCCGGAACGATAACTCGTTTCCCGGACAGTGAAAAACAGAGCGTCAGGAGAAAATGGTAACGCGAGGATGATTTTTGCCTGACCTGGTCTGTCATCTAAATTGCGTTTGATTTTTTTCGACGGGGATTTTTTAATATCGGCCTATAGCCGATTTCTGGCACGCTGATAGGTAAACGAGCGCACGAGTTTCAGACCGTTATTGATTCAAATTTGCTCAGTCAGTGAAAAATACTGCATTGAACGTAGTTAAATGCGAATACATTTTTTTTTAGTACGGAGATGTGAACGATTGCATTAAGAAATCAACGTTATTTTGAATAAAATCGTTCGATTCACGTTAAAATGTGAACGTCGAGAAAATGTTAAAAAATCAAAATTGCTTATTAGAAAAGCGATTCACGTTCGAAAGCGGCGTCGAATTTCCAAAAGTCGGGTAACACGGTGAGTCGATGACGTACTTTCTGTCCGCGAGTCGACAGGAAAATTTCCTCGTGCGCAAGAAACTTGACAGGAATTAGATTAGAAATTCTGGAGAAAAGTGTCCGGGTGATTCTTGTCGACTCGTGTCCGCCCTTCAACAAGAATCACCGTGAGAAATTGCGAGGTCCGCGATGATTCCGGACGAACGTGAGGTGTGTCGCGAAGAACGAAACGAAAGTAAAGTAAAAGAAAGAAGAAAAACGAGGTGAAGTAGTCGTGAAAGGACAGAGGAGAAGAATCGTCCACCGTACCTTTGGAAATTGTTTTACAGTTCCTGACTAGCGAATTATGGCCACGTCTTGGTAGCACTTTTCCGATATGATAGACTGAAACTCATAGTAACGTAAATCGAGATTTCAAGAATTTGAATCTAGTCGTATTTCAACTTTTAAAAGTATCATCCCTTTAATTTCATAAAGTCCTCATGATAAATCTTCATTTTTCAAATGAAAAATTATGATAAACTTTTTATGACAATAGAGGCAGAATATTATTTCAGGACACTAATAATAATTTATAGCATGATTCTTGAAGTTGCGCAAATTTTTACTAGAAACGTATACAGTCATGTATAATATATAGCAATTATTTAATTTACTAGATGTTAAGTAAAAAAATTGTCTTTTTTTTAAATACAATAGTTTTGCTTTTTTTAATTAAAGCAGATTATTTGTTGTTTTTCTCGCAAAAAAGGCTTTTCAAAGAGGATATGATATTATCGTTAATTACCGAAACCGATTACCATATTACCGGACGAATTGGTTCGACGGTTTTTACGCTCGTTAGGTTCAAATTTATGGCAAAACGTACCAGACGTCGGCTAATTTATCAACGTAATCGAAGCTGAAAATAATAACATCGATGATCATCAGGTCTTATTAAACATTGACGAGCGTGGACGCTACGATACTTTCATCTCGTATTCCACATAATTCGTTGTCGCTCGAAATCCATGGATTCGTCGATGCATGGCATTTTATATTTATGAAACATACTGTAATATTCCGAGTGAATTTTGATGAAACGAAAGTCAGAAAAATACAAAGTTCATTATTCAAAGGTACAATGTTCGTTACCTAAAAATGCAAGATTCTCGTGAATAAAAATTTTATAATAATAACATTGAACTTCCTGCGAGCAAACTTGATTGTTTATTCATTTTAAAATCGATTAGAATTGATTAACAGGTTAATTCAGAAAATATTGTAATTTAAAGCACTAAATTTTAACAATTACGAATCTGATTAATATAAATATTCTCTGTCATCGATTTTTTACTCCATCATTGTTTATCCAATTGTTTTATTATTTTCGATGTAGTTTAAACTGTATAGCGCCTATGTTCTTCTCATAGTGGATATATATTGCAGTCTGTCACAGAACTTTGTTCATATTTATTTTCATCTGATATACGTACCAATAAAAATCGTATTACGTATGAGATGACCTATTAAAAAATAACTGCCGCACTAAATAGAACATGTTCAACCATCCATCTACGATTCTTAAAATACAACTAGACTCAGCCGCGAGACCAAATAAACAATCGTGCACAAACGATGCCACACACCATTGCTTCTGACAATTCATACATTTCCTCCTGACGCCATTCCATTCCCACAACACGAACAAACGACAACGAGCAGGGAATTTTTGCGAGCACCGACCGTCCCTTGACCGGTCGATTTTCCTATTTACTCCAATCGCGGGACCTCTCTTTCAACTGGGTGATTTATTCCCGAGACCCTTTTAAATCGTTCAACAGATTAACTTAAAAGCTTCTTTATAGCACGACTGTTGTATCGTACTAGCTTTTGTACTCACGATTTCCGTGACTGTACCACGACGCTGCCAGCGAAAACGAGATTTCGTCCCTGACACTCTAAGCTCTGGCTTCCCAACTCGACGATCGCGGACGACTTAAAGAGGTCAGCGGTATCATTCGGGATGTTGCTACGGTTAGTTTTAGTTACGAATTTTTAGTATTTGTTTAGCTTAATATAGCTACATTGATGTGTCACGTATAATAAACATACGTTGCTATATTTTATTAAAAATTTTTCTTACTTGTCGGGCTGACAGATTATTTGACCATTATAAGAATTGCCTAGTATTATATTTAGTGCGGATGGTCATTGCCTCAGTTTTATGTGATTAAACATTACATTAGTATTATATTTCAAAATTTCCATTTTTAATGTGCTTGCTTTACCTTTATAAAAAGACTCTTTCATATAGGGAGGGGGGGG